TTTTCGCTTAAGGACGGCAATCCGTGCCTATTGGAACGGATTAACCGGTTTCCAATGCATTCCTATGGAAAATGGCGTTTCGCATAACGATGTTTCGCATTACGTTTTTTTTGGAACCAATTAAAATCGTTATGCGAGGCACCACTGTAACTAGACATTAATTATTGTTACATGGAAGTAACAGGGGTCAAAGTGACACCTGAGAATAACATTGTAACTACTTGTTATATTTAATATAATTACTAGTTACAGCTTTTGCTTAACAAAGTAGCTAATTACAAGTAACTATGTATTCATAACTCCTTATTTCCAAGTGTTTTTGGAGAGGGATTCTGAAACTTGAGGTCAGGGAGAAGAAACAAAATATTCTAGAAGAGGGCATACGAGTGTACGCAGCACCGTTTTGCTACATATCCCACACAAGTCCTAGGATTCTGCCAAGCAGAATCGGCCCATTCTTAGCCCATTCCCTCAACGGGAGTTGTGATAAGCCTTGATCCACCATTCAGAAATCGACTGGGTGCTTTTAAGGAGAAAGGTGGGGTATAAATAATTAAAAGGTCAGAATTGTCCCATTGTGTGAGTCTCGTGGCCCAGCCTTCCTATTGCACAAGAGGTGACCCCCCCCGGGAAGATTCATCAGAATTGACTTGATGGCATTATGATTATTTGTTTTTCAGTTTTCATTTGAAAAAATGATATGCACATGATCATGTTCCAAATGGTAAAGTTGCTCATCCTAAAGCCTGTTATGTGTACATGTGTTTGTGTAAGAGTTAATTGTTGGCATTTCCTAAGCATGACTTATGGTGACCCTCTTTTTTCCCCAGGTTTTCCAGTTAGCGAATACTCAGAAGTGGTTTATCCTTCCTTTCTTCTGAGGTGAGGGGGAGTCTTGGAACAAGGCTATGCAGGCTGGCTCTTCTCCCAGGGGAACTAAACTCCCAAACTTTAGGTATCTGCATCCAGTTACCTAAATCACTGGAAAAGTTATTTTTTTAAAAGGTAGAGCAATTCAAGGCAAACTTGATGTGGATGATTCCTCAGAGCTTCAGAACAAGATTTCCTAAGGTGGATTTGAACCCCACAATCCAGTTGTGTCCCATCTACCCTTTCTGGAGTAACATCACTGAATTCCATGGTACGTGAATGAGTTCATTTGCATGTATTTGCATCTTTTTGCACAACTGATTCTCTTTCTTCAATTTATTCATGGTTAGGGGCAGAACAAAGGAACCCCACATCACTTGACCGCCCCTCATCCTCCTGTTCAGTTCTCTTGCTTACCAGATTCCAAAATTAACCTTCTCTCTTTAAAATCTTAAGGGTCAGAAATTTGTCAAGACCAAGCTTCTCAAGAGTGCTGGAACTCTCTGCCTGCATGTTAATTTTTTGTGCTTATCCTGGACAGGCAGCTGTGGAATATGCAGTCTAAGCCGTAATGAAATCTAAATAAATGGACCTCTTCTTTCTATGAAACTCTATTAAAACATACTGCTGACTGTTTCAGACGCCTTGGTCATCATACTTTCATATGCCTGGGTGACAACATAAAAACATGCACATGAATTAATGTATACAAATTATTATTATTATTATTATTGTTCTTTTAAAGAAAAGATAAAGGTGGACCTTAGTATATTAATATTTTCGTTAGGGTTACTTTTCCCATGATCCATATATGTTGGATGAATAAATGGCTGTTAATACTGCAGGAGGCAGTAAGGATCTTGTTGAGTTTTCAAGTCTATTCAAAAGGACAGCTACGAGATGCCATCAAGATCGGAAGGTCTCTTTTTTCCGCTTTCTGGACAGGAGCCTGCACCGTCCGACGCTGTTTTCCTATCCCAGGCTCCTTCCGTGTTCCAATGGTTTAAGTCATTCAAGGCAGAAACCAGAAGCCGCCTGGCTGGAGGAGCATCATTTTAAGCCACCTGCAGGGAAGCAAGAATAAAACCCATCCCTATCACTTTGAGCATACTTCATATTTTTTAAAAGCGGGATATAAGTATAAATAACAATACCAACAACAACAACAACAATAATCATTATCATCATGAACTTGTTGGGTTTTGGAAGCTAAGCAGGATCAGGTCTGGTTAATGTGTGGACAGGACATATAAAACTCCCATGCTTAATTATCAAATTCCTTCCACCTGTTGCCAAGGGCTTGTTCTGTTCTCCTTGCCCATCTCAGAGTCCCAGGAAGAGTATATTTTGGGGAAGGGGTCTTAGCTCAGCAAACGGGTTGAAATGGAACATGCTCACAGAGCCCTCTTCAGGCGTGGAAGGGAATAACAAGTAGTGTAGCCTCAGCCCTCCCCCCCCCCCCCCAGGGGGGGGAAACATCAAGCTTCTGGTCTGTCTACATTTGGTATAATACTATATATCAAGTAGAGATGGGGATGGGCTGTTGGTTCAGTGATTTGTCCCGGTTCATTTATGGCCGCAGTGGGTGTTTGGCACTGCGCCTCCTCCAGCAGGCACCCATTCAGAGGCCTCCTCCTGGCTGTCAAGGTTGGGGAGCATTGCTGTATATCATAAGTAGAGATGGGGACGGGCTGTTGGTTCAGTGATTTGTCCCAGTTCATTTATGGCCCCAGTGGGTGTTTGGCACCGCGCCTCCTCCAGCAGGCACCCATTCAGAGGCCTCCTCCTGGCTTCCCTGCCCCGCCTCCTCTGTGGGCTGCCACTGGAGAGGGCGGAGCACCAAACCGCCCAGCCCCTGTTGTGGCCGTAAACACACAGGGCCAAACCAGGGGTTTGTACCATCTCTGACCCATATGCCAGGTCAACAGAGCACTTCCTTCTGCCTTCCAGTTTCACATCAAAAAGAAAAGAAAAACCCAACCCTGTCTTTGGCTCAACTCTACTGAGGTTTCAGTTGGAAAACACCTACTTCCACATCTGGTTCCAATCCGACAGTAGTTTCCAAAAAGCGAGCAAGGATCCTTCCCTCTGACATGACACCTTCCTGGGTATAATGAATCAGGGTACAGTATGTGTGCAGGAACACACTGTCTACTTACAGTGTGAAGCAGTACAGCCCAGATGCAGGGTTTACTACCTCATTAAGGACTAGGTTCTTGATATGCAAGGAACTTTTCAGGGCTTTGGATCCTCTGCCCTACCTACTTTCCCCATAGGCAGAATGCAGTGTCCTTCGGACTGCCAAGATTTCAGAAGACCTGCTCCTATAGCCACTACCTCATTGAGGACTAGGTTCTTGATGTGCAAGGAACTTTTCAGGGCTTTGGATCCTCTGCCCTCCCTACTTTCCCCATAGGCAGAATGCAGTGTCCTTCGGACTGCCAAGATTTCAGAAGACCTGCTCCTATAGCCCTAAGGACTAAGAGGAGGCTTCGTGTATAAAATGCAGATCTCCCCTTATACTCACCGGATCCGTCTCGTTCCTTTGCTGGGTGTTCCAATGCTTGCTGTCTGTTACCAAGGACCTCTGCAGGCTTCCGGGAAATTTCTCCATTGGAGCCAGCTGGTAACATATCACTGAGTCGCTCCAGTGCCAAATGTCTCTCCTGAGGACTTTTCTCTGGGTGATCAGTTATCATTCTGTCACCTACACAAAATTGAACTGAATTAAAGACTAGAGCCACGTTGAGCAGACCTACTGTCATGTACAGTGGTGCCTCGCTTGACGATGTTAATTTGTTCCAGCGAAATTGCTGTAGAGCGAAAACATCGTCAAATGAAACGAAACAACCCATTGAAACACATTGAAAACCGTTCAATGCGTTCCAATGGGCTGAATACCTGCTCGTCCAGTGAAGATCCTCCATATGGCAGCCATTTTCGGTGCCTGTAAAATGAGGAATCTGTTGTAGAAAACAGCGGGGTGCCATTTTCTTCAGGTGGCGGCCATTTTGAAACCCGACAATCAGCGTCGTAAAGCGAAAATCGGTTCCCGAAGCAGGGAACCGGTCATCGCTAAGCGAAATTCCCCCATTTAAACCATCATTTTCCAATTGCAAAAACATCAACGTAATGCAGATTAGTCGTACAGCAGGGTAATTGTCCAGCGGGGCACAACTGTACATGAAAAGAGGGAGATGACTGGTGGCAAAACATCTGTTTTGCAGAACTTGGGAAGTTACTTCTCTAAACTACCATCTCCAGACCCCTCCGCCTAACGATGGCTGGCTGGAGGACTCTGGCGGTGTCTGTCAAGGGATCAGTTAGAGACTGTTGAGCCGATTTCAATTCATGACAACTCCTTCCGGAGTATTCTCTGGACTCAAAAGAGTACACAGTGGACTCAGAGATGGTTTATCCTTCCCCTTCATCTGGTGGCACCCTGGGACTGAACAGCTCGCCCAAGGCTACACAGGCTTTCTCCTCTCCCGGGAGGCTCAGCGGGGAGTCGAACTGCTGACCACTGGGCTCCACAGTTCTCCTCTCCCGGGAGGCTTAGCGGGAAGTCGAACTGCTGACCACTGGGCTCCACAGCCAGAGACCTGTCTCACAGAAATACGTACCCCATGGAAAGGAGATTTCAAACTTTGCTACATGGCATGCACAAGGTCCCAGGTTCAAACAGAACTTGAGCAGCAGAGCTATGCAGATTTAATGGATGGAGCTCTGCAAAGCAGAATGAGCTTGAGTCTTCAGAGTCACGAGCAGGAAGCATCAAGTGCAGCTCCTACCCCAGTGGCGTCCCTGAGACTCCCCCCCACCACACTTTACATGATTTCAATGGCAGGTTCTAGTCCCTACTGAGCTAGCAAGGCCTTTGTGTGGCCTTCAGGCCTTGATTCATTTATTATTTAAAATATTTTTACCCTTTCTCCTTCAAAAGGGACCGAGGCGGCTGACAGGAACAGGTAATATTTGAAGCCTATACAAATGTGGCTTACATCATCACTACATTTAAAGGTAAAAACAAGGGGTATACACATCTTAGAAAGGAACAAACCAGTACCACTCTGAAAAATGGTAAACAGAAGCAATACTAAAACACAGTTGAAGCAGTAATGTATAACCATCCATTAAAAAAAAGCCCACTCAGTTGTCCAGTCACTGAGGGGAAGCTTGCCTGAAGAGAAAGGTCTTTGTCCCCTTGAGGAAGGACAGCAAAGATGGGGCCAGGCTTCAAGCAAGCTTTCCCTTAAGGACTGGTTGACTGAGTGGAGGTTTTATATGGGTGGATGCGCCTGGTTGCTTTGAACGTGGTTTTGGCGTTGCTTTTGTTTACCATTATGAAGTGTGGCCTTGGTTTGAGAAAGAGAAAGAGAGAAATTCAAAAAAGAATTGGAAAAGTTTTTGGCCCTGTGTCTCAAGGTCTGAGGTGGGATGTCCTATCTCTAAGCTCTGTCTCTTTTGCCAGGAACATTTTCTGAGGAAAAGTTTCCTCCACATCCATTCAGTGAGGGAACCCTTTGACATCACCTCGTCAGCTCCTTCCTTTCTCCTCACAGATTCCTACACAGCCGCCATCTAAAAGGTTTTGCAGTATGTCTTTTCTGCTGCTTTGCAAATAATAAACATTTGTCATTACATTATATGCTAATCAGGCCCAGCCTGATTCTGTAATGTGTTGAAAAGAACACTAATTCTGCTCTACCTGCTCAAAGCCCTGCACCCATAAAGGTTAATGTATGCAATATGCATAAACCACAAAACTCTAAAAATAGAAAACCAGCATTAACTTCTGTTATTTTGTATTTGTTATTCAGCGGTGGCTATTTTTCTAAAAGCTATTTTGCATCACTTATTTCGGGGAAGAGAAAGTATATACGCTGGAGACACAAACCGTGACTTTGTAGTCAACCTAGCCCTCTCAAGTTCTGAGATTTCAGCAGGAATTATCCACACAGTACATTTAATCTTTATTTACATACTGTTCCCTTGCCTCCATCTCCATTTCCACCCATTTCTTCGACTGTCTCCTCTGAGTCAAATTTTTGGTTCTATGTCCTTGGTGGCAAAGACTCGTTTTCTCATTTTTGTACATGGGCTCTGTGTCTCAAGGTCTGAGGTGGGGTGTCTGTTTTGCAAGGAACATTTTCTGAAGAAAAATTTCATCCACATCCATTCAGTGAGGGAACCCTTTGACATCACCTCTTCAGCTCCTTCCTTTCTCCTCACAGATTCCTGCACAGCCACCATCTAAAAGGTTTTGCAGTACAGTGGTGCCTCGCATAGTGATCCACAGATTCCTACACAGCCGCCATCTAAAAGGTTTTGCAGTATGTCTTTTCTGCTGCTTTGCAAATAATAAACATTTGTCATTACATTATATGCTAATCAGGCCCAGCCTGATTCTGTAATGTGTTGAAAAGAACACTAATTCTGCTCTACCTGCTCAAAGCCCTGCACCCATAAAGGTTAATGTATGCAATATGCATAAACCACAAAACTCTAAAAATAGAAAACCAGCATTAACTTCTGTTATTTTGTATTTGTTATTCAGCGGTGGCTATTTTTCTAAAAGCTATTTTGCATCACTTATTTCGGGGAAGAGAAAGTATATACGCTGGAGACACAAACCGTGACTTTGTAGTCAACCTAGCCCTCTCAAGTTCTGAGATTTCAGCAGGAATTATCCACACAGTACATTTAATCTTTATTTACATGCTGTTCCCCTGCCTCCATCTCCATTTCCACCCATTTCTTCGACTGTCTCCTCTGAGTCAAATTTTTGGTTCTATGTCCTTGGTGGCAAAGACTCGTTTTCTCATTTTTGTACATGGACAATACTTTGGGAGAGAGTATTTGGGAGTGAAGCAAGCCCTCCCCATTCAAATCATAAAGTTAAAAAGTAGAACTACTAAGGTCTAAACACAATTTCAGCCCCTACCAGATGAGACTATTTAAATGAACAAGACTTGCTGCAGATGCTGCTACCAGACTTTGGAACTCCTTCCAACTGGAGGCCAGGCTGGCCCCATCTTTGCTGTCCTTCTGCAAGCAGATAAAGACCTTTATCTTCAGGCAAGCTTGATTGATTCACTGTCTGCCTGAGTGGGGCTTTTAAATGGATTGTTGTACCTTACTGCTATGAATGTGTTTTCGTGTCGCTTATGTTTTTTAAGTACTGTATGGTATTTGTTCGATCCTTTTTAGAATTTGTATACAGTGAGACCTTGACTTACGAACATCCACACCTACGAACATTTTGAATTACGAACAGCTCCGTTCGCAAAAATTGGCATCGACTTGCGAATGGAGCCTCGATACAATTTCAGCCCCGACCAGATGAGACTATTTAAAATGACTTGCTGCGGATGCTGCTCCCAGACTTTGGAACTCCCTCCCACAGGACGCCAGGCTGGCCCCCATCTTTGCTGTCCTTCTGCAAGCAGATAAAGACCTTTCTCTTCAGGCAAGCTTTCCAACCGATTGACTATCTCCCTGAGTGGGGCTTTTAAATGGATTGTTGTACCTTACTGCTATGAATGTGTTTTCGTGTCGCTTATGTTTTTTAAGTACTGTATGGTATTTGTTCGATCCTTTTTAGAATTTGTATACAGTGAGACCTTGACTTACGAACATCCACACCTACGAACATTTTGAATTACGAACAGCTCCGTTCGCAAAAATTGGCATCGACTTGCGAATGGAGCCTCGACCTACGAATGAAAAAAGGCAGGGGAAAAGGGCGGGAAATTCAAATTTCCCACCCTTTCCCCTGCCTTTTTGCCTTTTTTCTTCCCTCGGAACGCACTGATCGGTTTTCAGTGCATTCCTATGGGAAATGGTGCTTCGACTTAAGGACATTTCAACTTAAAAGTGCAGTTCCAATACAGATTAAGTTCTTAAGTCGAGGTACCACTGTACTCTCTGTTGTTAGTTTTAATATTGTATTTTAATGATGTAAGCTGCCTGGTTCTTTTTAAAGGAGAAAGGCAGGGTAAAAATATTTTAAATAAATAAATCCCACTAATTTTAGTGGGTCAATTCCAGTTGGGATTAAAACCAGGTTTCACTTTAACTGGCTGGATACGAGCTCAGTGGTTTAGATATTTGACTGGCGAACCACAGAGGTTGCCACTCATTTCAGTGGGTCAATTCCAGTTGGGATTAAAACCAGGTTTCACTTTAACTGGCTGGATACGAGCTCAGTGGTTTAGATATTTGACTGGCGAACCACAGAGGTTGGGAGTTCAATTCCCCACGGTGCCTCCTGCAAGAAGAGTCAGCCTGTGTAGCCTTGGGCAAGCCGCACAGTCCCTGGGCATGGACCCTAAGAAGAAAAGGATCAGCCACTTCTGAGTATTCTCTTACTGGGGAAACTCTGAAATGAGTTGCTGCAAGTCAAGAACTGATGCCACGGCACCCGAGGACGAGGATTGACCTTAATGCTCACAAGAACTTGAATTGTGGACGGCCTACTGCAGATGTGAGCAACTGTGGCCCTTCACTGTTGTTGGGACTGCAACTCCCATAATTCCTTGGCCCTGCCTATGCTAGGGCTGAGAGGATCTGAATCGAAGTCAGCAACACCACCACAGTACTACCACATTCCCATGGGGATGTTCTGCACGGAAAACATGCAGGCTCTGTTTGAACTGGAGGGTTGTCTCTTAGAGATCAGTGGTTCTCCACCTGGGGCCCCCAGGTGTTCTTGGACTACAACTCCCAGAAGTCTCCTCCACTCGCTTGGATTTCTAGGATTTTCCAGGATCCCAGGAATTCTAGGAGTTGTTGTCCAAGAACCATCAGGGGCTCCAAGATGGGGGAACCACTGTGATCTTAGACGGGTTTTTTTTTCTTCCCCACCTGGCTGGATTCCCTCCTGAGGTCCAGGAAAGGAGGCACTGTCGTAGAGGCTCTCTCCGCAGTTGAGATACTTGTAGGCGTTCTCTCCCAGGTGGGCCCGCTGGTGCTTGGTCAGGTAGGGCCGCCAGCGGAAGCTCTCCCCGCACTGGAGGCACTTGTAAGGCTTCTCCCCCGTGTGGATGCGCAGGTGCTCCGTCAGGGTGGAGCGGCGGTTGAAGCTCCGCCCGCACTTGGGGCACTCGTAGGGCTTCTCCCCCGTGTGGATGCGCAGGTGGGCGTTGAGGTGGGTGCTCTGGAAGAAGCGCTTCCCGCACGCCAGGCATTCGAAAGGCTTCTCCCCCGTGTGGGTCCGGTGATGTTTCACCAGTTCAAACTTGTACTGGAAGGCCTTCCCGCACTCGTGACACACGTGCTTCTTCTCCACCTGCACAATCTTGATCTGGCTGACGTCGGTCACGTCGTTGCCTTCCGGACGTGAAATGGCTTCCCTCTTTATGGGCCTCTCAGGCGACGGGACCCACGCGCCTGGCGTCTCGGGGTGAAGCTCTGCCCCGTCACACTGCTCGGCCCCCACAGAGGGCGTGTGCTGGGGACTGGCCTCCGTGGGGCCACCCCCCACTGCGCCACCTGCGCCAAGGAGAGAAAAGAACATGAAAAAGAATACATACCATGCACTGGTTCCCCACCCTTTTATCAGTCGCCAGATGACCTACAGATGTTATCGAATGGCAACAGGAAATCAGGTTAGAGAGGCAGGCCAAGATCACTCCTAGTTTGGTATTCCCAGTTACAGTGGTGCCTCGTTTAACGACGATAATCCGTTCTAGGAAAATCGCTGTTAAGCGAAAACATCGTAAAGCAAAATTAAAAACCCCACTGAAACGCATTGAAACCCGTTCAATGCGTTCCAATGGGGTAAAAACTCACAGTCCAGCGAAGATCCTCCATACAGTGGCCATTTTCGCTGCCTGTATAGCGAGGAATCCACCACAAGCGCAGTGGGAAGCCATTTTAAGCAACCGGTGGCTATTTTGAAAACCTGACAATCAGCTGTTTTTGATCGTCGTAAAGCGAAAATTGGTTCCCGAAGCAGGGAACCGATCATCGCTAACCGAAATTCCCCCATTTAGATAATTGTTTTGCGATCGCAAAAAGATCGTCGTAATGCGGGGCAATCGTTAAGTGAGCCACCATTGTACTATGAAAGCTGCAGAATGAGGAAAACAGAGAGGGGAAAAATCCTTGGTTCATAGCAATGGGGCATTGGATTAAAACTTTACTGATACTGTGGGACCACTGGAAAATCAAATCAGTGGCTGCTAGATCAAATCAGAGAACCCAGCGCGGTATCATGGACAGAGAGACAGACTAGGCCTCAGTAGGTCTGGGTTTGGTTCCTCACTCAGCAGTGGAAACTCACCGAGGGTGTGGAGCTGGCAAAACCACTCCTTAACTATCTCACCTTTACCTTGAAAGCCTCTGAGGCTTGCTGTCAGTCAGTTCCAACTTGACAGCATATAATTAACAAATTAGACCAATTCAAGCCTGAGGTTTCCCTACAGGCTAAAATTTCTAAGCTGAGGCTGTCACACGTGAGACACACCAGGGGAAGGCAACAGAGCCCAGTGGCACTGTGGTTAACCTGCAGTACTGCAGTCAAAACTCTGCTCACTGCCTGAGTTCAATCCCGATGAGCTCAGGTAGCCAGCTCAGGGTTGACTCAGCCTTCCATCTTTCCCAGGTCGGTAAACTGAGTACCCAGCTTACAGGGGCAGGCAATGTCTAGCCTACATAATTAAACTGTAAACCCCCCAGAGAGAACTTTAAGCGCTATGGGGTGGTATATAAGCAGCACACTTTGCTTTTGCTTTTAATACTCCCTGGAAAAGACAATACAAGGACACTTCCCCCTTGAATTGCACAGGTCCAAGCAGCACAGTTTTGGCACTATACAGACTTTTAAACTATTCAATAAATAAATACCGTATTTTCCGCTCCATAAGACACACCTGACAATAAGGCGCACATATTGACATCCATATTGTGCCCCTTAACGTCACCAGCCAGTAATCCAGCCTCCCTGGAAAAGACAATACAAGGACACTTCCCCCTTGAATTGCACAGGTCCAAGCAGCACAGTTTTGGCACTATACAGACTTTTAAACTATTCAATAAATAAATACCGTATTTTCCGCTCCATAAGACACACCTGACAATAAGGCGCACATATTGACATCCATATTGTGCCCCTTAACGTCACCAGCCAGTAATCCAGCCAGGAATTAAAAGACAATACAAGGACACTTCCCCCTTGAATTGCACAGGTCCAAGCAGCACAGTTTTGGCACTATACAGACTTTTAAACTATTCAATAAATAAATACCGTATTTTCCGCTCCATAAGACACACCTGACAATAAGGCGCACATATTGACATCCATATTGTGCCCCTTAACGTCACCAGCCAGTAATCCAGCCAGGAATTCCTCTCCTCTGTGCGCTCTCCTCTCCTCTCTCTCTCTACTTCCCCCAGCATCTGGTCACGTGATCCAGTAAGTGGCGCTGATCCTACAGGGTTGCTACAGCTGCCCTGTAATACCAGCACTACTAATGAGTACAGAGCCCGGCCGCTTATGGCAGCGGCATGGGCTCTGGGGAACTGCACCATTTTTACAGTATTCGCTACATAAGACGCACACACTCCTCCCACTTTTTGGGGGGGTGCGTCTTATAGAGTGAAAAATACGGTATTCAATCAGTACTGTGTTGCTATTTCAGGTCTGGGTTTGGTTCCTCACTCAGCAATGGAAACTCACCGAGGGTGTGGAACTGGCAAAACCACTCCTTAACTATCTCACCTTTACCTTGAAAGCTTCTGAGGCTTGCTGTCAGTCAGTTCCAACTTGACAGCATATAATTAACAAATTAGACCAATTCAAGCCTGAGGTTTCCCTACAGGCTAAAATTTCTAAGCTGAGGCTGTCACACGTGAGACACACCAGGGGAAGGCAACAGAGCCCAGTGGCACAGTGGTTAACCTGCAGTAATGCAGACAAAACCCTGCTCACTGCCTGAGTTCAATCCTAATGAGCTCAGGTAGCTGACTCAGGGTTGACTCAGCCTTCCATCCTTCCCAGGTCGGTAAACTGAGTACCCAGCTTACAGGGGCAGGCAATGTCTAGCCTGCATAACTAAATTGTAAACCCCCAAGAAAGTGCTTTAAGCGCTATGGGGTGGTATATAAGCAGCACAATTTGCTTTTGCTTTTAACACTCCCTGGAAAAGACACTACACTTCCCCCTTGAATTGCAGAGGTCTGTGATCAGCGCAGTTTTGGTGCTATATGGACTTTTAAAAAACACAACTATTCAATAAATAAATATTCAATCAGTACTGTGTTGCTATTTGTCTCCAGGAAGTGACCTAAAAAAGGTGGCTCTCAGATTTACTGAGGCTCCTGTTGTTGGCAGTGTGGCCATCTCCAGTCTCCGGCTGTGGCCTAGAATTAGACCAATTCAAGCCTGAGGTTTCCCTACAGGCTAAAATTTCTAAGTTGAGGCTGTCACACGTGAGACACACCAGGGGAAGGCAACAGAGCCCAGTGGCACAGTGGTTAACCTGCAGTACTGCAGACAAAACTCTGCTCACTGCCTGAGTTCAATCCCAATGAGCTCAGGTAGCTGACTCAGGCTGTAAACCAAAACAGTTTAAAACAATTCAAAACAACTGTAATTAGTAATGCTTAGTAGTGCTCAAGATGGGAAAACAGAAAATTATAATAAAAATAAAGTCAAGTATTTTAAATATATTTTAAATATTGTCTTGTCATGATGTAAGTTCCTTTTTAAGGAGAAAAGTGAAGCTAAACATATCTGAAATAAATGCATAAATAAAAAGGAGAATTCACCGGCATATTGAATAAATATCAGTTCCTAAATTAGCAACAGTAACTTCACATCTTCTTTTTTTTTAATTTTAAAGTTGTCTCACCTGTGAGAATTCCCTGATGCGAAGGAGCAAGCAATGAGCCCTCCAGCATGGCTTCTCCGTTCTCAAGGCCTTTATAGGGAACGTTCCCTCCTCCCAGGTGGGCCCTCTGGTGCTTGGTCAGGTAGGGCCGCCAGCGGAAGCTCTCCCCGCACTGGAGGCACTTGTAAGGCTTCTCCCCCGTGTGGATGCGCAGGTGCTCCGTCAGGGTGGAGCGGCGGTTGAAGCTCCGCCCGCACTTGGGGCACTCGTAGGGCTTCTCCCCCGTGTGGATGCGCCGGTGGGCGCTCAGGTGGGAGCTCTGAATGAAGCGCTTCCCGCACGCCAGGCACTCGTAAGGCTTCTCTCCCGTGTGAGTCCGCCAGTGCAGCAAAAATTCAGATTTGCAGTGGAACCACCGATCGCACTCGGGGCACATGAGCTTCTTCCGCCCCACGTGGAACATGCTCCGCTTCGAGTTGGCGGCCCGGAGGTGCCGTGAGGGCTCCCGCCACAGGTTCCCCGGCTGGGCCTCCCACTGCCTCTGCAACCCACACCGGGTCTCCACGTTCAAGGAGGCGGCCCCTGCCGGCGCTCTCAGCAAAGCCCACGTGGGACTCCTGCGATTCGAGAGATTCGATTCCACGATCTCCTCCTTGAACTCCTTCACAATGACCTCGCTGGACGGGATTGAAGAGGAGCTGAAAGAAAAATCATTTCCTAGAAGAGAGAAAAGGGACAGGAAAGGTAAATGCAGGTGAGAAGCCGAAAGGAAGACTCTCCGCACGAGTCCTTGTTCTGGATAGGGATACTTCATAATCATCCTAAGTGAGGACCATGTAGAACCAGATTACAATAGGACCCCCATATCCATGTGGAATTGGTTTCAAGCCCTCCTGAAAACAGTGGATGATAGCAAACACTATTCACAACATGGTAAAAGAAAAAAGTCCATTAAAAAAGTATTTTCAGCATGTATTACCAGAACTGGCCAGTAGAGGGAACAAAAGACCATTCTATGTATTCCAACTACTGTACAAGAATACACAGGATAAGTCTCTGGCTCCTTCTAGTGGCCAGCTCGGGTAAATCTATCATGAAAATATGCATTTTTTCTTTTTTTTTTTTCTTTTAGCATTTTTAATTTTTTCAGACCACAGATAAGTGAAACTATGGATACCCACCCACAGATATATGGTCCTCCTGTACTCACATTCTCCCACGTATTTTGATTTTTAAAGTTCTGCTTACAGTTCTTTTTCAGTCTCAAATAAGAAAAAAATGTTTGAATTTTGGCATATTCTTTACAAACAGAAAACAAAATTCTATTCAATGTGTCCTGGCCGAATTCAAAACGTCCACCTCCTCCCATTATGGAAAGAAGCAGCTTCTACCAGCTTGCCAGAGATATATTAAAGCCAGGAAACTCTCAAGAAAGTTTAAAAAAAAAAAGAGGTACCAACTTTAACTCAGCATTAACAGAGTGGAATACACAGGAATTCAGTCAGATTTTTAACACTGAAACTGTGAGAGATCTGAGACAGATCTGGTAGTTTTGGTCCTTCCCACAATTCAGCACCTGCCTTGCTTCTTTTCAGAATCGAAGCCAGGAAGGTGTCCGCCATTACCGCGGCACAAACATTATTTGTAAACAGCTTTTGTACCTAATAGTGTACATTGGTAAAAATAGGTCACTGGGAGGGCTATACCATTATATTACTGGGAAGCAATTTTTAAAATTATTTTATGGGAAGATACATTGAAACGCTAGTCTGCCAATGTTACTGGGGAGGGGGGGAACAATGATCAGTGCTGCTGCAGGGTATCCCAAGTCCAGTGTAAGCAATGCATTTCTGCAGGAGCAGCCACTGCAACAGAGGGACGACCTCCTAAACAGAACCCCCTCCCCGATCAACGTTCCCTCTAATTTCCACTCTCCTGTGTGCGAATCTGCCTCCCACCCCCCATGCGCATGGAGTTCTGTTGCAACAGGAACCAAAGGGGCTGGAAAACAATCGCTGTGCGTGCACAGGGAAGCTCTCCGGAGGGAGGGGAGAAGTCAAGCACAGTTGTGGAGTCACGCACCGTAGAGGGAGCCTTGTTTCAGATACACTGATGTATCGATAAATATTATTCTTATTTTAAAATATAAATTTAAGGGGCTAAATTGCCCCTTGAAGCAAGAGAGAAAATAAACCGGTACCATGGTGTAGCCAGCCATAATGACACAAATAGGAGAAAATAAATGGGTACTGCTAAAAGTTCTTGAGATGTTTGTCCCAGGATATAAATCATGTGACCATGATTCAGTACAACAGAGGTACGGAAAGTATTGGAAGAATTACGTAGAAACACACATTCCCTTAAGTCTCCGTTTCAATTCATTTCTACAAATCCCATCCTTTGGTTTCCCCCGCCTTCTCTTTTGAAAACATACTTTTTTTTTAACTTACGTACTTTATAATGATATAGTCATAGAACCCAATTAAAAGAGTACAACAATAAGAACAAAACAAAAAGTAACCATTATGGCTCTGTGGTTAAACTGCTGTACTGCAGCCAAAACTGTGCTCACGACCTGGGGTTCAAATCCCAGGTAGCCGGCTCAAGGTTGACTCAGCCTTCTATCCTTCCGAGGTCGGTAAAATGAGTACCCAGCTCGCTGGGTGTGTGTGTGCGTGTGTGTGCGCGCAATGTGCAGCCTGCATAATTAATTTGTAAACTGCTCAGAGAGTGCTTGAAGCACTATGGGGCAGTATATAAGCAGCACACACTTTGGTTGCTGTAGGTTTTTCAGGCTGTTTGGCCGTGTTCTGGAAGTTTTTCTTCCTAATGTTTCGCCAGTCTTTGTGGCCGGCATCTTCAGAGGACAGGAATTTGAACTCTGTGTTCTGGTGTGGTGTGTGGGATAATTATTTGTAGCTGTGGAATCAGCTTTTTGTCCTTTTCAGGAGATTGGGTGATTACGTTGATCAGTTTTTTTTTTTGTTATGGGTGCATTTTTGTGATAAGGGGGGAGAGATGGTCTGTCACTGTGACTGATGGGTGTCATTACCTAGTATTATGTGTGCAGTGATCACCAATCCTTGTGGCTGGGTAGAGTTCGTTGACCTTTTGCAGGCTGTATTTTTCAGTGCTGGGAGCCAAGCTTTGTTGAGTTTTAAACTTTCTTCTTTTTTGTTGGTGCTGCTGCTAGTGGATTTCAATGGCTTCACTGTGCAGTCTAACATAATGATTGTTGGTGTTGTCCAGTACTTCAGTATTTTGAAATAGAATTTCATGTCTAGCTTGTTTTAGGGCATGTTCAGCTACTGCCGATTTTTCCAGTTGTTTTAGTCTGCAGTGTCTTTCATGTTCTTTGATTCTGGTGTGGATGCTGTGTTTTGTGGTTCCAATGTATACCTTGCCACAACTGCAAGGTATCCGGTATACTCCTGCAGTGGTGAGGGGTTCCATTTTGTCTTTTGCTGACCAAAATATTTGTTGTATTTTTGAGGTGGGCCTGAATATTGTCTGAAGGTTGTGTTTTTTCACAGACCATGCGGTCCGTGACCCCTTTGATGTATGGCAGAAATACATTTATTTGTGGGTGGCTGTTTTTCTTCTTCAGTTCAGTGTTGTTTTCTTGGTTTGAGAACACACTTTGCTTTTGCTTTGCTTACTTAAAAAAACATTGTGTATGATTTAAATTCTATTTCACTCTTATGCCTTTAAAAGTTTATCATCCTGAAATGTCTCTCAAGCCCCAGAAAGGTGTACATTTCCAAGGCAAGGGAGGTCTTGTCTCTCAATAAATCTCGGGAGATTTAAAATGAGCAACTCTGGTGAGAACTCAGACCACGAAAATTCTTTTTTTTCCATCCTCTATGCCAGTGGTTCTTAACCTTTATTCTATTTCACTCTTATGCCTTTAAAAGTTTATCATCCTGAAATGTCTCTCAAGCCCCAGAAAGGTGTACATTTCCAAGGCAAGGGAGGTCTTGTCTCTCAATAAATCTCGGGAGATTTAAAATGAGCAACTCTGGTGAGAACTCAGACCACGAAAATTCTTTTTTTTCCATCCTCTATGCCAGTGGTTCTTAACCTTTGTTACTCGGACTCTTGTCTCTCAATAAATCTCGGGTGATTTAAAATGAGTAACTCTGGTGAGAACTCAGACCACCAAAACTCTTTTTTCCGTCCTCTATGCAGCCAAGAATTTGGGAAATATTGCTCTAACCACCACACCGCACCACTGCACTATACATTACTAGGTGCACCCAAAATCCTAAGCCCAGCATGGGCGCACAAACACAAGACACATGCATACATATATTTCAATCCATTTCTTCACAAAATCAGGAGGAATTCTGCTTGGCATGCAAAGGGGGACATCCCCACCTCCGCCCTATTTGCATAATCCCCCATGGAGGATTCAACCACGGCAGCTCATGCATTTCAATGGGTATCTTTTCACCTCCTGCTCTTCATTTCCATGACGATGGGGATTTCTAAAGGAACCATCAGCAGGCATCCATTATAAGCCAGCTGGAATTCACAAAGCTCTCCTCCACTACACAACCATTTGTAGTTTCCACCAAAGTGGTCCAGTCACAAACTGATGGAATTTCCTGGATGTTTGAGAGGCTGTGGTTTCTTCCTTGCTGCCAGGGCCTCCCTATAATTCCCAGCAAGGGAATACCCCACCATTTTGGAGAATGAATGGAAGACGTTAAGAGGTCTATGGGGCTGGAAATATCTTTCTATTGTTATTTCTGATTCGGGATCAGAAATAAATCCTTAAACCTCAAGAACTAAGTTCTGGCTTGAGGCCTAAAACTCACTGCCCTGGTTGCATACATGAAAGTAAACAGGCAAATAATTATTCTACGCTTCATCCACTGGGTGCAAAAGTGCCTACATTGATAAGAATTACAAATGGTCTCTCCCACTTGGCTTTAGCCTTGCCCACCATTCAAATGTCGCCTCCCTCCAAAGAAAAAACCCTTCCTAAATTTGGTCCCTGGGCTGAAAAAGGCCCTTTCCATTGGGGAAACAGTGCTTGTTTGCTTGGGCTTACAAGCCCCCTAACATCTTTTCTCTCACCTTCGTAAATATTCACGGGGATTTTCTTGTCCTCTGTCGTCTGGGGATTTGGGATCCATGGTTCCTCCCCTCGCTCCAGCCGGGAGATCAGCTCGGGTTTAGGAATCGGAATGGCTAGATCCCACAGGAACACAACAAGGAAAAGGTTAAAATGTTCAACAGATGGCCACTACCTTGCAATCAGCAAAGAACAGCAGTAGGCTCCAGAATAACTGATTGCAATGGATTTCCCTCCAAGCTTTAGTATTACAAAGAAGGGTGATTAAAACACAAAGATCAAAGGTACTGGTGCTTTGCCATGTCCCTTCTTGGTTTAAAACTAGGAAGGATTCACAGAAGTAGACAACTTCCCAATCACTGGTGCTTTGCCATGTCCCTAGGATTCACAGAAGTAGACAACTTCCCAATGGCCCTTCCGGTAGAGAGGGAAAGAGGGCACACTGGAGTCCCCCAAACTACGAGGGCAGTGGTTCCCAACCCTAGGTCCCTGGATATTCTTGGACTACAACTCCCGGACGTCATGGCCAGCACAGCGAGTGGCGAAGGCCTCTGGGGATTGTAGTCCAAGAACATCTGGGGACCCAAGGTTGGGAACCACTGCCTTAGAAGAGGACAGAGTGAGCTGGCTGCTTAATGGGAATACGCGACACTGCAAGATTTTGTTGCCACCACTCTGGCGGAGTTGTGGGGTGTGCTCCTTACCTAAGGACGCCACATTCTCATAGTTTTCCTGCATGACATCCCAGTACAGATCCCTCTGCTCTGCATCCAGAAGCTTCCACTCCTCTTCGGTGAAATAGACGGCCACCTCTTCAAAGGAAAAAGGTGGTGCCTTGAAAGAAGAAAAAGACTTTTAAAAAATGCAGTCTCACCTAGCCCACCCCCTTGGGTCGATTTGATTGTGATTTTCACCCTGCTAAGTGGTACAGTCACCCCCACCAGTCCATCCTCTACCTGAACCGGCTCTGCTGCAGCCACCTCTCTTCCTCCAGGAGGAGGGAAATTTCCAAAGAGAAAAACACACATCATTGTGCCAAATCTGTCAAGGAAAGAAAAAAAGGTGAAATCAGAAAGGTAGTTTTGTATGGATCTTTATTTATTTTCTTTTAAGTTCGGTTTCACAAAGACAAATAAACGTGCACTATATCCTACATCCCCCTTCATGGATTGCTGCCTTGTCGTGGCAAAGGGGCTTGAGTAACTCAGAGAAGCTATGGGCTATGCCGTGCAGGGACACCCAAGACAGACAGGACATAGTGGAGAGTTCCGACTAAACACAGTCCACCTGGAGTAGGAAATGCCAATGCCACTCCAGTATCTTTGCCAAGAACACCCCATGATCAGAAACTAAAGGCTAAAACATATGACGCTGGAAGATGGGCCCCTCAGGTCGAAAGGCGTCCAACATGCTACTGAGGAAGAGCGGAGGATAAGTACAAGTAGCTCAAGAGCTAATGAAGTGGTTGGGCCAAAGCCGAAAGGACGCTCAGCTGTGGACGCGCCTGGAAGTGAAAGGAAAGTCCAATGCTGCAAAGAAAAATAAGATAGGAGGGCCTGGCGTGCTCTGGTCCATGGGGTCACGAAGAGTCGGACACGACTAAACAACAATGACGATATCGTACATACTGTACTCTGCTCCCCGTATACCCTTCACATTCCTATTAGCAACTGCATCCAGATAGAGGCTTCTTGAGTTGGTTTACAAACAGAAATGAAACATATGTATTTTTTTTCCAAACAGAAACCAGAATAATACCAAAAGCAGCAACACAGAACTTGTCGATGGTGGCTAACCCTGTGCAACTAGCAGTCATTAAGAGCGGTAAAGGTTCCCCTTGACATTTAGTCCAGTCATGTCCAACTCTAGGGCGCGGTGCTCATCCCC